TGCACGAGCCCGTAGGTCGAGTGCAATTTGTGGTCTTTGAAAAAATTAACAAGTGCTTGTTTATTCCAAATTGCACGAGAAAAATCATGTGATTACGTGTTCAAAAGTTCAAAGTCCGACTAAACAGTTCAAGGAATTGTTCAGTCTGTGTCCGAATCACTTTCGATGAAATGGAATCGTCGTTTCCGAGATTTAATCATGCTTGTTTTTAATTTCGGCGTTGGATCGCTCGAGCAAAGTGTTAGGCTGGGTCGGCTCGTCATTTTCGATTTCCTCGGCAATTCCCTTCTCTAAACACCACTTTTTCCAAACTGACAACCAAAAAGCAGTGCTTTTTACAGTGTTTTCGTTGTTTAAGCTGTTTTTCAGCTGCGGTGGCGAAAGAAAGCCTACTTAAAACGCCGGCTATTGTTTCGCTCGCAAATTTTCAAATTTTCAAATTTTGTTGCGACATCCAAGGCTCGCATTTGATTGGTTATCTGTGAGTTTCTTTGATTATTGACCAATCAGAATGTCTGATTCGTTTCTTTCTTTGCACTGAATTAACCCTCTTCTGCACTGAATTAACTCTCTTCTGCACTGAATTAACTCTCTTCTGCACTTAATTACCTGAAAACTGCATTTATCTTAACCAATCAGAACTGAGAAATTTTTCCCCGTATATTATGTCTGTAAACTAACTGAATGCATCTTGTAACTTGTAGTAAGATAGAATTCCGTGAGCTATATTATTGCAGTCACTGCGCGCTGGACAAAACTGTGAAATTTACACTTTCGATCACTGTCGACAGGGGTGGTCCGGCCAAGAATCATTTTTGGCTTATGACGACGCAAAAAAAGAGAATTAGAGAACAACTAAACTATTTTCGAAACATGTGTCTTTTCATGGGTTAAAATTAAAAATTGAAATTTTTTCTGACGGGATGTCGAGAGGACCGCTCTTAGCGAGAGCGGCACTTAAGTATTCCATCAAGACACCGACAAAGGGATTTATTTTTTTATGTCACAGTTTGTTAGTTCCGAAAGTTGAAGTCCTGTTTTAGATTGCTTTTGCTTCAATAAGCTTAGCTATTCATAAGCTAACATAAGTTAGCTCCTTCGCCATGTTACCTGAGTTAAATATTTTTTTGCAAAAAAAAAAAGCTTGTACATGCAGGAACATCATTTTGAGTTTCATTTCTGAAGAGCTTTGTCACCAATTGAAGCTTCTTGGTCACTGAGCAGTGGAGGGTAAACATTATGTGATCTCGTGCATCGAGACAGGCATGATCATGACGCACGATATTCAGGAACTCAGTACTAAACCACATAAAATTGCCACAGAGAAAAACAGCTTTATGTTGAGAGAAAAATACTAAAAATTAGTGAGTAGAAGTGTCACCAAGGAAAGATAGACGAGCAGAACTTTCCTTCTATTAACAATTGACAACTAACAGTTTTTTCGTGTAAACAATTGATTTGACGCTAAAAAGCAACATGCCCATGGTTGTGCACCATAAATCGTGTAAAAACATTAACAGCCTGTAAGAAAAAGTGTCTTCTTAAGATAAATGGGCTAAGAGAACTTTCTTCGCACTAACGATTGACAAGCATCCCTTTTTTCTGCGTAAACAAACTTACGCCAAAAAGCAACTCAAATTAAGTTAAACTTTGCATGCCAGTAAGATACAGACGCAGGGATTCATTTTCATATGACAGTTGTCAGCTCCGGAAGTCGATGCCCTTTTTTGTTCTATTTTTGCTTCAATAAGCTTGCCTTTTCATTTCTGAATGACATCTGAGTAATGTCAAAAAGAGACAAGTGTTTGTCGGCACTATCCGTTCAAAAGAGGCACGTAGGCTAGCTTCTTAGCCATGTTAACTGAATTAGAGTCTATCTTTATATAAAAAAAAACCTTGTTCATGTAACAGCATTTTGAGTTTTATTTCTGCAGAGCTTTGTTACCAAATGATGCTTGTTGATCACTGAGCAGTGGAGGGTAACAGTATGTGATCTAAATCGGGGAAATTACCACAGAGCAAAATATTTTGAGAGAAAAATACCATTAATCGGTGAGCAGAAGTATCTTCGTGAGAAAGATAGGAGAGCAGAACTTTCTTTCTGTAAACAATTAACAATCATCCCTTTTTCCGAAGGAATGTTTTATTCAACTACTTCCCGATAGAGTTTATTTGTTGATAGTTCCTGCAAGGAATTTTTTTTTATTAAAAAGTCAGTAATTGTTTACCATTATTGTACTCTTTGTAAACTTAATCATCGTACCACTGAACAAACGTACATTTTTATCACGCAAATGGAATTAAATGAAATGTTGGCAACAATCATACCATGTTACATTTGAAAGTTATCAGATTTCCCAATTTCATAGCATTAATCCTCTCAAGTAGTGCCTCTGCGTTATAACTTACACCTCTTTAGTATTGGGTTATGATAAAGACAAATGGATTCATTTTCATGGATGTGACGCTTAACTCCCTGGTTATTTTTTTCTTCAATAAGCTTGCCTATTCAATTTTGAATGACCTCTAAATAATGTCAGAAAGAATTCGGAAGTGTCTGTCAGCATCGTCCATTCCGAATGGCAAAAGAGAGCTCCGAAGTCATGTTAGCTGATTTAAATCTTTCTTGGAAAAACCCCTTTGACATCGTCAACATTTTAAGTTTAACTCTGGAAAGCTATGTTGATAGGATACTCAGGAAAACTGATAATTTCTGGTAACTGTAACTGTAATAAAGGATGACAGTACTTGATAAAAACAAAGTCATCAAAGTGTGCACGATAGCCAGTAAAACAACACTCAATTGTTTATCGCTTGAGGCTAAATAAACACAAAAGCGATGGCACCTCCTTTAACAAACTCTAGCTGACTCTAAATTCATTTGAAAAGGCTGTTAAGTTTCTCTCTTGACCACAAGTTGTTCAGTTTTGTTAGAGCTACTTTGGAAAATTCAAGAGACTTTCATACTCTTGAAACGAGTCGGTTGTGCAAAGTAAGTTTGCTTTTGATTCTGTATCATGCATTCTCCTTTTTTGTTAACGAGATATGAAGAGCTAAGGCTATTTTTTTCAAATCAGGTAATTTACCAAAGAGATTGTTTTTTCTGGGCGAAAAAAACTGCTCGTAACATGCACAGTGGTGGGAATCGCGGCAAAATTCAAGGCACGCCTTTATGCAAGAGCAGCGCCTTTTTGCTTTATGAATTTTTGTTCAAAGCCTATACCACCATGATTTATCCTTATGATTCTCGAATTGGACTCTTTTGCGCGATAGTCGTTGGATTTTCAGTTCACTCGTTCGCCTGCTTGGTCTTGGAAGAAAGGAAAGACGTCATCCCCACCTTGATCATTTCCACGCTTGCTAACGCAACTATAATCGCTTATCTAGACACTTGCGCAAAGCTGACCGTTAAATTGCGCAGGTAAAACGACAAGCCTTCCATTATCAAATCTTCTTGTTTTCTTTTAGGTATCCACGACAGTTAAACAGAGAAATCAATGAAGATTTCTGTAGTTTTTGCCTTTGCCTTCGTGGCTATGTGTGTTCTTGAATGCTGTGTCTCAGGTAAGAAATGAATCATTATGAAATAAATAGCGTTACCATTAAAAACATTTTGCTTTTTTATTCCTCATAAAACAAATAGATTCCATGTTGCCGAGGTTCTGTTCAGTTAAAGATCACAGATGACCTAGAAATAAGGCAAAAACATCAGTGAAACACTTGGCTGCGCCTTGTGTCCCACTCTTTTGTTTTTACCCCTTTTGACGTCTGGGATTTGAAACTAAACAATTTATTCATAAGCGTATTTTGAAACGGTCTGGTTATCTTGGTTTGAACGGGGACAAAGGGAGCTTAATAACATCTGTTAACTGCTTTTATTTGAATTAAGAGTGAACTTTACTGTTCTTTTTGTTTTCGAATGAGGTCTGGCACAAACCGTGCGCGACCCTAGAGTTGAAAAATCTTCGGAAAATGCTCGGAGCTATTATTCGAAAGAGTTTCCTTAACTTGTTAGACTTTCTGACAGTCACAAGCCCTCGAGAAACTCATTTCAGAACTCAACCTAAACGGGCGCAACGACCCAACCTCAATCCCCACCCCCTCCCCCCAGGTGATAATTAATGACTTGTTCCCAAAAGAATGAATTCTTCACAGGAGTTAGGGCTCGGTTTGGGGGTCTAGTTTTTACGGAAAACAGTTCGTAATTTTATCTAATTGTCTTAGCTCATAATGGAGTTCATCTTATTCATTTCGTTCTTACATTGTTTCCAGCCGCACACTTCAAGCCTAAGGTAGATCCTGGAGATGCTGACCACAACAGACGATTTATAAGTAAGTTTTTTTCCAAATTTTTTTTTCACTCGTGTTCGTATTCATGTTCCTCGTTTAAGCCCAAAGGTTGCCACTGGAATTCATTGCAGATTATCTGGCATTTCAGAGATCAGATTGCCGGATTAAAAATGCTGTAGTCATGATATACGCTCGAAATTACCACTCCCTTAATATGAATAATATCTCACCTCCTAAAAAAATGAATGCAATTGAAGACTCTTACAGTAACTTGAATAAAGCGCAGTTTGCAATTTTGTTTCAAGTCTCTGATTAGTGTAGAATTGAAATTGTTGAAAAGATATATATCCTCTCTTCAGCTGGCTACTTATGAGAAAGATGATTTCAAAATTTTTTTTACTTGTCGAGCACATACACTATCCTTTAATAAAATATAAAGGTTACAGAGAATTCTTTTAGCCATTTACTTGCCTGTTAAGGTTTATTTTCTAATATTTATTTCACTCGCTTAACAAAAGGCTATGAGACATAATACGCATATAAAATTAAAACTGTTCCATTGGTAACAATCTCCTGCCTCATGTTGATGGAAAGAAATCTTTCGTTTTTCTTTTGTTGAGAATTCTTCAGTCTTCCAATTGCAAAACATTGCTTGTAATACTGTGTATAAGTCTACTTTAATTGTGGAGCTGAGGTGACTTAATTTTTTTCTACGTTTTTAGTTGGCGCAGACCCAAGAGAGGAGGACTACATCAAAGTACATATGGGTAAGTTAACTCGACCTCATTGGTGATCATATGGGGGAGGGGGAGACAGGGAGGTCACAGTCTCCCTCCTTCCGCACAACATTCTCCCGCCTCCCGACTCCCAACCTTCATTGTCTTCATTGTATTTCTCCCGTCTTCAGGTTAATGAAAAGGATCTGAAACCTGAGTTTCACTTGCAAGCTGTGGCAAAACGTATCTTTCTTGAACATTCTCTGGCCATGCATTTTTTAAGGGGGGGGGGAGGGGAGGGAAGATAATTTGCTCAAGATGAATATTATTACCGACCAGTTTTTTTTTTCATTAAGTTTTCGCGAACCTGTTTATCACTTCTGACATCTCACTATAGAGATGAAAGTAGGTTCACTCAAATCTTTTAATCTCCTTGGTGATCATGTAAGACCAAGAGATTACAAACAGTTTATAATTTCTTGATAGAACCATACACAGTAAACTATTTATCGATATTCAAAAAAAATTGTTTTAGATTATCTTTTCTCTGAGGCTCATCATTGAATCTCGATTTTTAACTGGAATGGCTACAATCTCAACCAAGATACACAAATATACAACAAGAATGAAGGATGACTTAAGCTTGACCCTAACAGGGCCATAGTGCATGTGGAACTCATCTTAAAGCTTAGTTACTTCAGAACCAGTTCTTAGTATATTGTTACAACCTTGGATGAGTTACTCAGTAGTATGCACTAAGATTTATGGTTAAGTAGTCCGTTAAAAATGTTTACAACGTTAAAACTCAGTAATTTCTCCTAAATATTGTCAAAAACATGGTATAGCCAAATGCTTCTTTGTTGAGAATATCTGTAGATTTAGGAAAAAAAAATCTAACAATTAAGTGACAACTTGATCTCCAAAGAAACTTTTAGGGAAGTTTTGGAAGAAACTCATAGGCCTCAATTTTTTTCGTTCAGATTTCCCGCGTGAGTCTGAGAAACATGACTACGAGGATGAAGAGGACGGAGTAATAAAAGACATCGAGGAACCATTTGGTAAGTCCACTTCAAAAGAGAGAAAGCCTGGGGCGACAGCGGGTGCGCAGAGGCTTATGGGATAATCATGGTTGCGAAGCTATAAATCAGAATGTGGCCAAAAGATCGCATAAATGTGCACGCGCCATTTTAGATTCAGGCTGTACCACTTTCTTTAAGTGGTTAATTAGTTGTATTCTGCAAGCACCCAGGACTACATAGATCACAGGATAAAATTGCTTACTCCTGAATTTTTTTGCCTTTACTTGTCTATAATTCGGCAGGAAGTAATTTAGCAACGCTTTTTTTTGCTTGTGGTGGTCCGGCTGTTTGTTATCATTTATGTTATTCTGATCTTTTGGTGTGGTTGTAAATACATTTGAATTTTCTTTTTCTCTTCAGACATACCCTTAGAAGATTTCGAAAATTCAAGGGAATTTTCCAAGCATAATTTCCAAATTTCCGACAAAGGTAAGGTGATCACAAGCCAGACATTTCGTACACAAAAAATATCAAAGATCCTGGAGCGGGCGCGCAAATCGTCTCTCACGAGTTGAAATTAGAAACATTGTCAACGAAAGAAGCTTTGTGAGATAATTGACGTCAGTGCATAAGTCCAGGGATTTAGGTAATGTTAGGGATTCTCTTCCTATATATTATAATAAGATTGGTACATGCAGACAAAAATTTTTTATAGTAAAACGCTCTTTTTCGGGCAAGAGCTCTTGCACAATTTTTTCAATAAAACAATCCTTGTTTCAGACATCCTGTATGCAAGTTGCTGAGTAGGGAAATAACACGAAATGGAGAATACGCATTTTGTTTACACTTGCACTTAGGTGCTTGTTTTCTTTATTACAACTTTCGATATTTGGGCATCACGTTTTTTTTCTTTTCAAGTCGAAGAAAATCATTAGGGCCCAAAGCATCAACTGTTGATACGAAATACCCAAATCACCCCTATCAGTGCTCGGATGCTCCTGTAATTTGGTTTTGTGACCTAGGGACCAAGTAACAGTGGGAAAAGTATTACATTAGCTTCATTTTAACCCGTTCAGGGGTGATTTAGGCTTAGAAGAATAACTACTACCACTAAAACGAGTGGCAAAAGTCTTGGCACGCTCGACTATTTGTTGAATTTTTTTTATCCATTCATTAATTTCCCCCTCTTCCCCCATTTCACTGTTGCCTGGGGTTACAAAATGGGACTTTTAAATAACGTATTAGAGATGAATTATAAGATTGCTTTCCATCGTGTTGAGTGGAGGGTTGTCGACCACTTAGTAGGGGGAAGCGTGCCAACTATTTTTGCCTCTTGTTGTAGGTATTGGATTTTCTAATGCGAGTTTAGCTGGTAAATTGCCCCATTATCATCTAATTCGAAGTCTTAGCTTTTTTATATTTATCTTTTCTCATACTGGACTGTCTATGAATTACATCTCCTTTATTGAAGATCCTCACACATGATTAACTCTCTCCTCAGACGGAGCCAAAGAAGTTTTCGAGAATTCAAGAGTATTTCCCGATTTGGATTCTCAGACTCCTAAAGAAAGTGAGTAGATTCCTAAGCAAAAAATATACATTTCAATCAGTAACCACCGACCTTAGCTGTCTCAGGGATACTAGAATACGCGCGAAATGAAAGATGACTTCGAAATAGTCATGGTTGTGTATGACGGAAGTCATTATTGGGCCAGCAACCTAAAGGCTGACTTTTTTTCCTAAACTCAAATGTTTCGCAAAGGACTCTACGTGACAAAAGATTACAACAATTTGGACTGACATGAGTTGGTGGGTTGAATTTTTCCAATTCAGCATCACTCAAACCGTTCCGGCTTAAATAGCTGCAGCATTTTAGGCCGGGTTAAAAGCTGGTTGACATGACTCATCAAACAAGTCACTCCAAAATAGTTTGTACTATGTAGGACACCAAGAAGAACCAACCAGCGAAACTAAGTGAAATTGCATGGTGCCAGTTGGTTGCGACTTTAGACTGACACCAAGTTATGGGTTCCTTAAACTTTCAAATGTTTGAACTGCCTCTTTTCCCACACACTCTTACTCCTCATCCGTCAAAAATTGATGATAAAGTAGGAGTTATGACTCGATATATCCGCACTACTTACCGAGTATTAATTGAGGTACAGCTAAAAGTTATAGCTTCCTACCACCACTTTGATACTTCAAAGTCAGCTGTATTTTTTCAATTTATTCTTTCTGTCTAGACGGGCTGAACGAGTTACGAGGCAAGCCAGGGAATCTTCACGAGGACCATTTCATGCCTCTTGAACCAGGTAAAGTGACATTTTTATCATCCCCTCACATTTTCTGTTTCCTATCCCTAACATTTGACATCGCACGTGTAGATTTGCAAGTAGAACGCTTCTACTTATTTTCTCCAAATCTGGAGTGTTAGTATAGCACGACTTTCGATAGACATGAAAGACAGGATATGAGCCATGACCGAGAGACTGCAGTTTCATTCCTTGTTGGAAACTTTCGAGGATAGAAACACAGAGGCCTGGTGTAAAACGCCAACACTTGCAGTTTGGATGCACGCTCGACGATCTGAGACAGTGAACATGCAATTTGATGATTTGAAAAATGTTTTTCACCTAAGAGACTGGTTTAAGCAAACATCGAGCAAAAGGCCTAATCAGTTTCCAAAATTTGGGCCCTTAGAAATTTCTTGTGAATATGATCTTTCAGCGAGTAGTTTGAAACCAAAGATATAAGTAATTGCTTATTTGACAATGTAACAAATTTATTTTTCATAGGATACATCGCTTTTGTAAAAGTCGTGGCATTGATGGGTAACCAACCGCTCCATGACTCGGGAGGTCTACTTCCTAAAGGGAATCTACTACTAAAGATCGTTCTGAGTGATGGCAAAGTGCATCAGGCGGAGCTTAATGGAAGCAAATACCAAGGTCACCGACACGAAGAAGACTTGAACGCCGAAAGTGATTTTGACCCGCCACTCATCTGCACTCGTAAAGAAATAAGAAAAGTTCATCTCACGGCTCGAGGAAATAATAGATGGTACGTTGTGTCAATCGATACCTACACCGCGGGATCGCATAGAGCCTTCACCAAGCTGACCAGTGATCCAGGCTTCAGTATGTGGGTGGACGGCAATGAAGAACATCATCACTCATACCACGCCAAAGAACACCTCCTCACCTATGCTGTCGCAGGATCCTGTATCACGTACATACGCGTTGAGGCAAAGACCAAGGGAGGTATGAAAGGAGATGGTTCCTCAAAAATGGATAGAAAGAGCTACTTCCTTATCCTTGTTCTCATGCAGGACCAAAAACTTAGGGCAGAACTTGTAGGATATGAGCTACGAAGCCAATCCTCTGTGCTAGAGCTGAACTTCGTTAGCCGATTTCAAACCGAAAGGTGCGTTTCGATATCCGAAATTAAGGAAGTACGACTACAGCCTCATCATCAAGGAAATGAAAATTGGTATATATCATCCATTCACACCTCTGCTAAGACTGGTGAGGAGCAGTACATGGATTTGACAAGTGATCCACAGCTTGGAAGTTACAATACGAGAGACATCAGGCTAAAGTGGGAATATGAGGTGACCGTCAACTGTGAATACGGCAATCCAACGTGTAGATGCAAGAAGCGTGCACATGTATGTATTTTTAACCTCGAAATTGACGAAATTCGAACTTTCACCAGCTATCAAAAGTTGTCGGTCGATGAACCAACAGGAATAGCTTTGCGAGGAGCCGAGGGAGTCAATTATTATTTCGATAAAGACGGAACACTTTTGCCACTGCAGTATAATAGAACATGTTCAACATTAGACCTAGCCAAATGCACTTATCCTCAGTTTGTAGATGGTAAAACGTACCGTATGGTAATAGCCGTCAATGGACAAATTCCTGGACCTACCTTAATAGTTCAGGAAGGGCAAAAGGTTATTATTCACGTTCACAACAATCTCACCACTGAAGGTATTTCAATTCACTGGCACGGAATGCATCAGAAAGGAACACCTTGGATGGATGGTGTTGGTCAAGTCACTCAATGTCAAATAGGACCATCATCAAGCTTTTCATACGAGTACATTGCTAGTCCTGCTGGCACGTTTTGGTACCACTCCCACAGTGGCGCTCAGAGAACAGATGGCCTCTATGGTGCACTTGTAGTCAAAGAAACCAGATCAAGGTTGGACCGAATACGAGCAAAACTGAAAGTTGAATTTAAAGATAATCCAGATAAACACACTTTAACGCTTCTAGACTGGCAGGTGGAGGCATCTTTAGACCTGTTCACACAGAGCCAAGCCGACTTAGGCTTTTATCCAGACAAGCCGCACGGCGAAGTGCCTACTCCATCTGATCAAAAGTATAGTGGTACACGTAGTTTTGACAATGGCGGGGCTGGACCTATTCCCTACTTTTCTGGAATCATAAATGGCAAAGGCAGACATGATGATGTTCCATACAACAAAACCAGACTGAGTATATTCACAGTTGAGTCCGGAAAGATATATCGCTTTCGGCTTGTTGGAGCCCAAGGGCTTTATTCTTACAGCTTTTCCATTGATGGCCATAAACTGACTGTGGTCGGCACTGACGGCTATTGGATTGAACCCGAAAAAAAGGTTGATTACATCATGATCCATCCCGGAGAGAGATACGACTTTCTACTCGATGCAAAAGAGGAAATAAAAGACTACTGGATTCGTGCCGAGACTATGGAGATTGATCAAAGTGGCCAAGGGCCGCCTTACAAGTCACTAGGACATGTGGCAGAAGCTATTTTGCACTACAAACGGCGTAGCGATTCGCGTGATCCAGATGCCAATGTGCCGTCGCATAGATATGAAGAAATCAAAAACAATTCTCCTCTCAGAGTGTGCACCCAGGAGAATCCATGCAAAGCAGTGAACTGCCCATTTAAGAACTTTCATTGTTCATACAACATCATCTGTACTAATGTAGACGAGCTGCGTTTACTTGAGCGAACTCCACCTGGGGAACTTCCAAATGCAAACCCTAACAGCCAATGCCGAAATTGCACACATTTCATCAATTTTCATTTTGAAGGTGAATCTAAAGCTAGTTCAGTGAACGGGCGAAATTTTATTCTTCCTTCCTTTCCACCCCAAACCCAATATAACGATTTTCGAGAAAAAGACACCATCTGTAACCTTACGGCTGACTGCAATCCATCGACACTCGAGTGCTCATGTGTGATGGTGATAGACATTCCATATAACGAAACTGTTCAAATGGTGTTTTCATCAATTGGTGCTTCTCCTAGTGCTCATCCAATTCATCTCCATGGCCATACGTTTCATGTAGTTGCCGTCGGATATCCAGAGTATGACGATACCACTGGTTATGTTAAAAAACGCAACAGTGATATATCCTGCGCTGATGTTAACTGCACTAAAGAAGGGTGTGTGAACGAAAGTTGTACCAGACCAAGCTGGAAGACGGAGCCAATGAATTTTACCATCAATAGGCGCACGATAAGAAAGGACACAGTAATGGTCCCTGCTGGCGGCTACGTTGTCATCAATTTTCTTTCTGATAATCCAGGCCAGTGGTTTCTTCACTGTCACAAAGAATTGCACCAACTTGAGGGAATGGCACTAATTGTCAATGAGGCTTTGGAGGAGCAGCGCAAGCCACCCGATGGCATGAACAAGTGTGGAGACTTTGAGATAAGTCACCATAAATCTCAACCATAGTTGTTAGTTACGAAGCTAAGGCATGAAAAACTATTTGAAAAAGGATAAGTTCCCGACATCCTTAGAAGCTTTTAACCTCAACAAAACTACTACTTGAAAAACATTCTCCAACAATGTGTTTGCTAAGATCCAGAATTAAGTCAGTTTTAAATTAGAGTGGGTCAAATTGAATACTCGGTAACAAGTGGGAAGTGTTTTTGTATTCTTAGGCTCTCCTGGCTTGTTTCATAACTTTTAAATCACAAACTCGGTTATACGTGTAATTTTTCAGATTTAAAACTAAGCATGTTAGACTAGTGCGAGAGAAATGTGGGACTAGTACTAGACTATACAAGTGTGACATAATTTCTAAGAGGTACTTTTTTGTTTATATAGCCTTTGCTGAGTTATTACAACATATTTTTTATGAGTATTATATCACCGACGTGATTTTTTGTGGATCTTTTAAGATCCAGAATTAAGTATTTTACATTAGAGTGGGTCAAATCGAATACTCAGTAACAAGAAGGAAGTGCTTTTTGTATTCTTAGGCTTGACTGGATTGTTTCAAAACGTTTTTAATCAACAACTCGGTTATACGTGCATTTTTTTAGATTTAAAACTAAGCATGTTAGACTAGACTAGACAAGTGTGACATAATTTGAAAGAGGTAATTTTTTTTTATATGGCCTTTGCTGAGTTATTACAACATATTTTTTATGAGTATTATATCACCGACGTGATTTTTTGTGGATCTTTTAAGATCCAGAATTAAGTATTTTACACTGGAGTGAGTTAATTTTAGTACGCAGTAACAGTAGAGTTTGTTTGCACCTGTAAGCTTTCCTGTAGCTTTTTTTTATCGCCTCGTTACAGTAACGTTTTCTATCACAGGAGGCTCGTAATGATTTAAGAGTCTGTTAAACTACACCATATGCTGTATGATCAAAGACAAATCATTCAGAAAGATTAGATTCAGAGACACTCTGACACTTAATCAGTTATCAAGTTTTAATACAAATTAATTTATCTTAGTTTTCACGGTAGAAAACTTCTTTTAGAAGGTAATATTCAATTTATGACGAACTGAGAAAATACTCACTGTAATAAATTTGTTTGATTGATTGATTTCGACTGTTTGGGGCGACGGAAGAAACAGAAACTTACTAATGACAACACTCTCTCTTTCTCCCTCCCCCCTTCCACCATTATTTGGAGGTCCGGTGCAAAATAAAAGGAAAAAAGATACAACTACAAATCCGTTGCTCAATAAATTGATTCCACTGTTTAACCATCATTTTCTTTTGTTAGGAGCGACGGAAGAAAGGCAATCACTCACAACCCCACCCGTACCCACCACCGAATAAAGGGTGAAAATCAAATTTTACGTTTGCCTATTTTTAAAACCGGTAAAAAATAAAAATTGGGGAACGCCAGAGCGAATGGAACATACGCCTCGTATTCTCCTTGGAGTCAATTAAAAAATTGTTTTCAAAAATCCTCATTTTTCGTTTCCTATATTCCCTCTCAGTTCTCAAGTGACCTCATACACATGAGATCTTTAGAAATACTCCACATGGAAAGCTGGACTCGTCAAGTTTAATGTCGTCATAAACGACGGAAAGAATAAAAGTTATTTTACCATCAACCAAATGGAGATTATTCCATGGAAAGTGTGCAGGAACGATCTTTATTATCATTTTAACCAAAAAACTGCAGCTAAATCGTAAAAGAAACTCACAATTTTCTGAATAAAATTTACAAGTTTACTGATTTGCCTACTCATGCAGATAAAAGACTGACAAAAAAAAATCAGCTAACTTTACAAGTCATGCAACAAGTGTTACAAATTATGCTACACTCGGCGTACCACCAGCAATAGCCAATTACTGATTGCCTAAAATATCTTTGGCAAAAGATGGAAGGTTTGGAATCATTTTTACTCTTCGCTTTTTATCATGCAAATCAGAGACGTAAACTGCGTAATTTTAACCGCAAAAAAGGTTTGAAACGACTAAAAGCAGTAGGTCTGAAGTAGAGTGATTTATTAATGACTTCCTGAAGTGTTCCGTTTGTTGATGGCCTCGCAAATAATTTTTTTTTTAAGAACTCAGTTATTGTCTACTGCTATTGTACTCTTTACGAACACTGAACAAAGGCTCTTTAAGAAAAAAATAACTTAAAAGCATGAAATAAATATCATTTCTCTATACCAAGTCGTATATTGTCTGAAAATAACGATGCTGTTACGTTTGATAAGTGTTACTTTTCCTGATGAAAACGGTTTATCGATATTTATAGCTATGCTGGTCATGTCAAAAAGTGTCTCTAAGTTATAGCAGAGCTCGCAACTCGCGCAGCTCATAAGCACGCTCCTAAGCACATGGCTAGCGTAAATAATTGTTGTTTACAGTTTTCGAATTCAAGAACAGTTTTTGAGATTCTGTTTCTGTAACCTCCCTGGATATTTTCTGTTGAATTCATTCAGGTACAATCTCAGAATTTCATCAGTAATAAAGAACAATAAATCCGTATATGTAGTGCAGAAGTGATTATGAACGATAAATTCGTATCGGCACCATAATTTGGGGAAGTTTTGTTGACTCTTTATCAGTTTACTATTTGTGAACTATTTCTGTTACTTTCTTGGAAATTTCTTTTGAATTATTCGAGTCACACTTTCGGAATTTCATCAGTAATTAAGACTGTAAATCCGTATATGTAGCTCAAGAGAAGCACATTTTATACTTTCCATACGATTTTAAGAAACTTTACTTAATTGACTCTCGAGAAATTGGCCTGGCATAACTCGTTGATTATTTTATTATTTTGCGGCCCAAAAATCCTGGCTTATGACTCAGGAGGTACTGAACTTGATACACTTGATACACAAGGCACCCTTCAAGGAGGAAGGTTAGAATAAAATTGCTTTTACGACCGTATATTGCACCCGGTTTACATATGTAGATAATTGCTTAAAAATACCTATTATAGCTGTATTCAGAAGCATAGACATGTAGGTAATGTGCCTCTGCTTTGTTTTTATTATAGGTTTCTCTTTATGTCACATATATCCATTCCTTTAATTTCCTCCTTAACCTCCTTGAAAATAATTAAACCTTATGTTTTAATTCAAGTGTGAGAAGATAAAACAGAAGTGTTGCAGAGCTCTCTTTTCAGACTGAATTCAAGTGAGGAAATCAGTATTAATAATAGTTAATGTCATATGCTTCTCCTGAATCTTTAATTTCCAAGGTGGAAGCGTAGAAGACCATAGAATGATGTTTACTAGGCACTTGCACTTACCGCAATCATACATTCAAGCAATACTCTACATATACAGATTACATGATGTCTTAAACCCTTTACACCCTAACACCCTATACCCTAACATTCTAACATCAGTATGCATATTCTCCATACTGTTCTCTATACATTTCCTAATGTGCTGGCAGGGAGAATTTGTTTAACAGTCAAGAGGTTCTTCAGTTGATTATCTTTCCCTTTATTATAATGACCTCCTTGTTCGATTCAAGGATGATATTGAAAGGTGAAATTAGATGATAGTCACTCTCAGGGATTGAAGGGCCAATAATCGTACACATTTTTATATGCTCCTCGCATTTGTTGGCAACAATAGTTAAGATGGTTAGGATAGCAAACAAAAAAATAAGCAGAAGACAGTGAAATGAGGGAAATTGTAAACTTTACCATTATATGGTAAAAAAAATCACTTGAATTGTGCCAGCTATTTTTCTCCATTGCCCTTCATGTTTTTTATCAAATAAAATTTAATCAGTTGTAGGGTTTGCCTGCAATTTGTCAAACTACCAGTGAGGACTTGATTCTTCTGAAATGTCAGCTGGTAAAAGATAGATACTAAAATTAGATGTCCATACCAAAAAGTACACATAAAAAAATTACACTTAAGTGGTGGTGTGATTGATTTGTAATATTTAGAATGACAGAAGCAGAAAAACGCACTGAGCTTTAATTCCTATTCACAAATAAGTTAATCGGATTTTGGATCCTATATTCAAACTGAGTAAGATTAAATTGATTCATAGCATGCTTCGTTATGGTTTGTTTACATGGAAAGTTAATTGTTATTATAGCTTCAGAAACGTTTTCATTGCCGTCGCAATTAACATTCACAACAAAGTTTCATTTAACATAGAATGTTTCAAGAACTTTCTTCCTTTCTCTTCAATATTTTTAACTATTTCTGGAGCGCAATTAAAGGAAGCAGGTTATTAAAAAATATAAATTTTGATTCAGGCAATTATTTGAAAATATGAGTAACATTTGATGTTTTCACATGTAACAGGATAATCAAGCTGAATATAGCCTAAAAAAGGAGTAAACTACACAGTAATATGAGGTGACTAATTTGGAAACTTGAGCACTTGGCAAATACACCTTGGCTTGCAACTCTGATGATTACAGTTTGCTGAGGTAATTGAAATGTTAGTCTTCATGCAGGAACCTTCCATATGACCTGACAGTCATATGCTGAGATAACTTTAGAAAAATGCATTTGTGTCGGTAAAAACTATTGTAAATACAGTACCACCTAGTGACAAAAATTTATGATTTCCTATAAGCATGAATGTTTGGGAGAAGTTATGGTGGCAATTGACCCTTTTGCTTGGATGCATAGGGTCTGATGACTGTAATGTATATCTCTTAGCTTTCAAACTTTCAAATTTGTATTAATTGTAACTGTTTACCATATCTATTTCTCTGTACCATAAGCCCTAAAAAGTTGAAGCAGGTGAGTCAACAACCTGACTTCCTTTGTTTGGAATTGTGTGATTATATAAATTTTTTGTGTAAGTTACCACATCATAACATGTCATGTTATTATTTAGATTGCATTAAATACTCTTGCTCAAGCTTTCATTACTGCATTTCTTACCATTACTTATACCCAAACTAAACATCGACATAAGGAATTGGTCACATGATATGCAAGTTTTAAAGGGTGGGAATATGCAAAAACAAGGATCCGCCTTTAATTAGGACTTTAATTAATTCATGTTTTTACTTTGACCTGCCTCCTCCGTTGTGATGTTTAGGGCACATAGATGAAGAGAACATTTTTTGTATTTTGATTATACTAATTATTATACTAATTATTATACTAATTGGCGTCCACATAATGCACAAAGCAAGAATGTAAATGCTTTAGCTTTATAGGTTAAAAAATTAAAATAAGATAGTTGTGCAGAACATATCTTCCTTCTAATCCTTCTCTGGATATTTATTCAAATAACATAGTCATTATCAATCTCATTCACTCTTACTTTCCACTGAGCTTGTGGGAAGATGATAATCTCAGTATTTCTTTATATGAGGAAAGGAAAGCCTACCCTTTTACCACAGATAGTTCTTTTGGGCATCATCAGTACAAACCTGGTCAAATTTGTACATGAAGGTGATTGTTCTGGGTAGGCTAACCTTAAAAATTAGCTGTTAAAAATTTCGTGAACCTGTCGTTGTATGTCTTAAACGTTTGACTCAATTTTACCTCTCTAACCTAAACTGAATAACTAGAAACTTGAAATTTATTTGTTCTCCTTTTGAGGTGTGCATCAAAATTTTGAAGTCATCACAGGCTTAAACTACAGGTTTGTAGGAAATCTGAATGTGCGTGTGTTTTCAACATATGAAACCGGGATTATGACTACTGTACTTCAAAAGACTTTACTGTGTGCCGTACAAGTACAGGCAGGTGTTTTAAAAACGTTTGCTTAGCTTTTCATTAGTACACATTTCTTTTTCTAAGAATCTTGTTTATCCAGGTTATGCTGAATTCTAATTTTTCAACCAATTTTATTTTCCTTTGAAAATTCTTAGATATCTCAGTATCAGTTAATATTCATGTAATTAAAATAATTACATGAAATCTTGCAGATGTATGGCAGATTATTTTTTCTTCTGATTTTCTTAATATTTTATCATGTGAAGGGACTGGTATTGGCTATAAAAGTATAGTCACATTAAAAGTTTGTGCACAGCCTATGCATCAAGTTTATCTAATAAAATATTGTATCCTTCTTAAAACTAGTTTATCAGAATAAGAATGAGTTACCAGGCACAAGTGTGGCTTT